ACCCTCGTCATGGATTTCACCGTGGTCTTGACAAGCCGGGTGTCTGGAACATGCTCGGTCCCTATCATGTCTTCCAGTAGATGTAAGGACTTGGAAAGATCGAAAGCAAGGAGATGTTCCTTGTCCCCTTTCATAGAAGCGTTGGCCGGGATAGGGCCTCCCCCAGACTTCAACCTCGGCTGCCAAGTAGGAATCGGTTTGACTTCGGTCGTTGCGTGTTCAGTATTAAGCTCAGTTGCTAGCTCAACAGATGGATCAGTTGAGCGAGCCCTCTTACCAGTCCAGCATTGCTCAACATGTTGTGTAACTGTGGAAGCCAAGGCGATCACGGTCCCCGAGCTCTGGCCAGCTGTTGGTGCAGAAAGCAGGTCGCTCGGCAACTCGGTAGAAGTGGCGATGATTAGGTTCTTAATCCGGCTCCTTTTTGTCATCTCTTTCTCCTCGGTCAATCTAATTAGGGGCATATCTGGCAGAGTTAGGTTAGGCAGAGGAAAAGGAGCTCAGAGAAAATCGGTAACCTTGCTCTTACAAGAAGCTGAGTAATGGTAGCTCGGTACGTACCCGAGAAGCTCGTAGCAATCTCGGTGCCAATACCTTAGCACGGTTTAGGTCACCTCTTCGTTTGGATAGAGGTAATTGGCTTATAACTCTTCGATAGCTACAAAAGGAAGGAAATTAGCTCGATACAATTAATAATGACAAAAATAAGTAGTCAGAAAGCTCGGCTTACAAGAAAAACTGAAGTCCTTGCTAATGTACCAACCGGGTACATCGGCCGCTTCATAATTGCCAGTCACCCAGAAAAAATAATCGTCATGCATGTCTTTGTCCAGCATCCCGATTGCTAATCACGTTTTGCCCGGTCTTATTTTTAAGTAATAACTGTAGCCGTCCTTCATCGGACCAAGCGTGTATTGACGTAGGATCTCGGCCAACCCTAATTGTAACCCCAACCGATTATTCAACTCGGCCACTCCGTTTATGATCCTAAAAGTGTTGGTAGATACTTGTGTAGGAGCCAGCCCGGTACATCTCAAGAATTTGCACATTAGGGGCTACACTGGGAAGTGCAACCCTTCTTTGACTATGCTTAACATGGTGAAGGGACAAGACTCTAATCTGCCCCATGGGTTTATGCCCTCTTCACCGAGCTTCAAGTGTACATCGGTGGGGACGCCATACTCCTCGCTGAACACGACCAAGGGGCCCAGCATGTTTACAAGGAAACGGTAGCGCCCCATAAAGGATCAGCTTGTTCAACTTGGCATAATTGAGTTGACTAAGCTATGCACGATGGCTGCTCGATCTTTGAGAGCCCTAGTGTTGGTGTACTTGGTCCCCTAGGAGTCTATAGTTAAAAACCAAGTGTAAGTGGCAGCGCAGTCGCGCATATGAGCCTGATTTTAGCTCGGTCACATCGAGTATACTTGGTAGCTCGGCCTATTTGGTTAGCTCGGTTGTGCAAGAAGGCTAGATATTAACCCGGTAACTAGTCCTTTCAGATCAAAAAAGTGCTTTGAGCTCGGCCAAACCTAGATCTGCACTTGTTCATCACAGGAGATGATGAACAGTTGGAAACTAGGGGCACGGGAGCTTTTGGACGTCAAAAGCAACGCAAAAACCCTAACCCTATTCCATTCTTGGTAGTATTTAGGTGTTTTAATCTTCCTCAGTGGATGCATGTGAGAATTAGAGTTCAAAAAATACAGGAAAAACATGAAGAACAGACGAAGAACACAAAGAGCAGTGCAAATCTTACCAAATCAAAGATATAGACGATGCTCCGATCGTCAGAGGATGTTCCGAAGGCAACGATGGTAGAGAGCTGGTGAAACAGATGCTTTGATAGGGACGACGAACACAGGAAATGGGGCTTGGATGCTCAAGATCGACGGATTGCTGTTGGAGAAGAGAATGAACAGTAGGTATAGGGAACTGAAGAGGTGTGCCAATATATATATGCTAGAGATGAAGGGGTGTCAAAAATTTAAATCTAATGGGACAATGTGGGATAACTATATTGGCTATGACGAAATCAGGTTGCAGTCATGAGGCGATAGACTAAAAAGATGAATAGCCAACCAGGCAAGTCATTAGATCGAGCACGAAAATTAGCGCGGTCGAAGATAGCGGACTGATCTGAAATAGTCGATGATCAAGCAATGAAACGAGCCCGTCCTATAAATATAATCCCGATCACACTGGCGCGGACAGAATTAAGGGACAATTAAGAAGGAGGTTTATGACATAATAATGGGCCGAGCTTGTTTGGGCCGAAGTCAAGGTCCTTGCTTGGTCAAACATTGGGTACGTGCCAGACCGAGGACTCAGTCCGATCGAGTTGGAAAAACTTTGGATTGCTAGGCTAGAGGAGATGTGCACTCTGCTAAGTTGGACGGGATTAGTCCTCAAAAGATCAGGTTCGACCGAGCAGGAGCTCAGTAGTGATTAAGGAGCTCGGTTGAGCCCATAATAAGGAATTATCGAAGAGACCAGACGAGTAGCACGGTCGTAAGGTGATGGCGTGGCGCCGCACTAAGTGTAGCTTGGCGGGGAGTACTATGCGGCATGACGGGACTGTGGAAAGAAGATTCTGCCGCCCGTATGCTTCAATACCGTTTGACGGTTTTGTCATTTGGTGTTTAGTTGTATAAGCGTTGACACGTAAGAGAACATAAGAGGAGAGTAGGCCCACGCGTCCAGAGGGGAATGGACGCAAAGGCGCGCACATAAACTATATAAACGATGTTACACCTCCATACACAGGTCTGGAACATCTTTTGATCAGAGCTCACCTATTACTTTGTCTTCTCTCTCTCTTTTCTCTCTCTCTCTTTCTCTCTCTCTCTCTCTGCGTGTGTGTACTAACTTGATCGTCGGAGGAATTTTTCGACAACCACTTGCCGGGTAGCTCACCGTCGTTGTGGTTTCAGGTTAAACGACGTCATTTGAGTAGGGGTGCAACTTGGGCGAGCTCAACCCGAGCAACCCGAACGTAGCCCGAATTTTTTTAGGGCTTGGACAAGATATTTTTAAATTTAGTACGGGCTTGGGTAAAAATTCAAAAGGCTGAATTAAATTTGGACGGGCTTGGACAAAGACGTCAAACAATCCGAGCAACCCGAAACCCGAATTATACATATATAGATATATAAAAATATTAAATATATATAAATTATTAGTCATTACATAATATTAAAGTATTTTAAATTATTAAATCATATTGAATATATATTATATATACAAACAACATAAAATCTTACTTTTTATGTTTATTTTTACTCATAAATTATAAAGACTACTATAGCGGCATCTCTCTTACATTATATAAATTATTTATTTTGATGGTATTAATGATTTTCTATATATATAAAAAAGTAAATAGAGTCAAATTTTAATAATTTAATAATATAGCTGCAAAAAAAAAATAAAAAAAAATTACAATTCGGGCAATTGGGGTTTAACTTGGGTCGGACTTGGGCAGGCAACCTCGAGTTACAATTCGGGCAATTGGGGTTTAACTTGGGTCGGACCTGGGCAAATCTCAGTACAACTTGGGCTGGTCTTGGATAATCTCCCAACCCGACCGAACCTGCTCGAGTTACACCCCTACATTCGAGGCCACGAAGAGCTTGGACAACAAAGAGTATGGAAGCAAGAGAATATTTGCCCCCGTACACAAACTAATTCAAATTTAGCTAGCTTGCAATAATTGTGTTAAAATAAGTATCATACTAACCCGTTAGAGTGATTAAAATAATATAAACTAGTTATAATAAGTAACATTTTTTTTAAAAAAAGAGCATTTGGAAATGATTTAAACAAACAAAATTAATAAAAAAATAATTATTATTATTATTATAAGGAGGCCACGAAGAGCTTGGACAACAAAGAGTATGGAAGCAAGAGAATATTTGCCCCCGTACACAAACTAATTCAAATTTAGCTAGCTTGCAATAATTGTGTTAAAATAAGTATCATACTAACCCGTTAGAGTGATTAAAATAATATAAACTAGTTATAATAGGTAACATTTTTTTAAAAAAAAAGAGCATTTGGAAATGATTTAAACAAACAAAATTAATAAAAAAATAATTATTATTATTATAAGGATAAACAATTGATAAGTATTAATAGTTGGACTTAATTCTCATAAAATCTTATTAAAAATAATTTTTACTAAAATTCTCATTAAAAATAATTTTTTATCACACTTTTTATATGGTACTAAAAATTAACAATTAGTAATTTTTTTTGTTACGATTTTTATAAAATTATCTCTAAAATTTACAATTAGTGACTTTTGTGATGAATGTTGCTAAAAGTTGAAAATTAGTTATTTTTTGTAACGCTTTTTTAAATTGCCGTCAAAACTTATAATTAATTATATTTTTTGTGACAATTTTTAAGCTATCGTTGAAAATTAACAATTAATGACTTTTTTTAATAATTATTGATAATAAAAAATACCATTAATTATCATAAAATTTATTAGATAATAAATCCATCTATTAAGACCTACACCTAAATCTCTTTATTATAATATTATTTAAACATAATTTAAATACGGGCCTGGACTGTCTTCAGTTTAAATTTGGGATAGTTTGGTCTAGTTCGGCCCATTGGGCTCACTTTTGGGCCTCTTTTTAATAATTTGAACCGTTCATATTTTAGGGTCTGTTAAGTACATTATTTCTATAAAAAATCACATCAATCGAATAATGGATACTATGTATTCAAATCACTTTTGTCTAAAAAAATAGAAGATCAAAAAATTAACGGTTCATAAAAAAGTGATCTGAATATATAGTATATATTATCCGATCGACTTGATCTTTTACCAGAATAATATTTTAAATAAATTTTAAAATATAAACGATTCGAATTAAAAAAAAAAAAAAAAAACCCCAATGGGCCAGACTGGGCCTCCAGTCACTGGAGGCAATCCACTGCCAATACCCCACAGATCAAAATATTGGGATTGGTTGAGCATGACAGCATGAGTGAGTGCAGGTGAAAAACATATATAGAGAGAGAAAGTACAGAGAGAGAGAGAGAGAGACAGAGGTGTTGAATCTGGTTGATATGTGTTTGCATTGGAGTTTCCATTTTTCGAGTTGGCTTAATCGCCCATCTTTCTCTTCTTCGGTCTCTCCGCATATTCTAAAAAAGCCTCTGTAATCCATTGTTTTTCTGTCCTAATTAATTCAATTTCCAACCACCTCGCTCTGTCTGTCTCTGTCTCTCTCTCTCTATCTCTCTGCACATGTATATACTCTATTCACATTCTTGGATTTTCATCAATAAGCTTCGATATCTCTCTACATAGTTCTTTCTCTTTTTGTCTCTCGTTCTATAAATGGCGAATGCATCTGGGTTCTTTTCACCTACAGTTCCAAGTCTGAGAAAGAGGATTCCTCTATCAATTGGCATATATCGATCTGGGTTTTGCTCTGCTGATGGATTCTCCAAAAGGGTATTCTGCTCTAGCACTATCGAAGGTGAAGAGAAGCTTTCCCCTTCTGAATCTCGAGTACCCAGGTGAGTTCAATCCCTGATTTCTTCATTTTCTAGTGATTGATCAATTAGGTTTTGTTGAAGTAATGATTTTTCGATCAAATGGGTACTTAGTGCAATTGGTTTGAAAATTTTATGATTTTGTCTGCTGAGGTGATATTATTGATCCGAATTTGAATTTTGTATCGAATTAGTTCACCAACTTCAACTTATTTGGCTTATTGTTTTGGTTGGGCATGTGGGGTTTTGGTGGTAATGACTATTTTTTGAGTTTAATTTGTTTATCTTTGACTCCTGGGTTACTCTGATTTTGATTTTTGAGTGCATTAGTTGTCATTGGACCAACAAACACAGTTTATTGCTCTTGCATGCACGCGTAGTCTTGAAAGGATTCATGCACAGTAATCTAGACTATATTTACAGAGGAACTTGACTTAAAAAAAAAAAAAAATAGTTTGATTGTAGTATCTGAAATGTTAATAGATGATGTAAATGTTGCCCGATGAAGAAGATGACTCTAACTCCGGGGCTTGATTCCTGGAGATCCTGTGACCCGCACTTGACAGGTGCTTGATATATGGTCGAGGTTGTCGGGCGCTAAATTCGTTCTTTTTTTACCATTTTGCCAACGGGTTTAAGAGATCAGATTTCATTAAATGTTTAAATGGTGCCTTATGGACTTGACAAGGGGGTGGATGATGAGGAAACTCTTGGTTTTGTAATCAACAATTAGAAGTTAAGAGAAGGCAGTTTATGCTAACAATTTGTTTCTAATTTTTCGTAGAAAAGGATTAACTAGTATATCAGTGATTTTGGTAAGAGAATATCATGGAAAAAAAGGAACAAAGGAAATCAAACATAGAAGGGAAATATTAATTGTGAAGTTGGATTGGGAAGAGATACAGTCTTGATCTCATTCAGTATTTATGGAGGTAGAAGCTCCAAGTAACTAATATCTGCATTTGGGCTTCAATAAAAAGCATTTACTTTTGAGTGGTGTACAACATTTCCGCCCTGTTGCATGTACCCAAATGATTCATGTTCTAGGTGTGCACTTTCCGTTTTCAGTGGTACCTCATTGGGTGTTTAAGAAACAATATATGTTCTAAAAATTAGAGTAGCTGAAATTAGTATATTGGGATGAATGAGTGATGTTACTCGAAAAGATAAAATAAGAAATCAATACATTGAGAGGAAGTTAGAAGTGGCATCAATTGAGGATAAAATGACAAAAGCTGTTTGAAATGGTATGTTAATGTGTAACGTGGACAAACTAATGCACCTAGGTTGATGGGGCTGAAAGAAATAGCAGAATGTGAGAAAGGATGTGGTTTCCTTATAAATTAATTGAGGATATGCCTTTTCAGAAAGACAACTAGAGGAAATGTGTCCATGTAGCTGATCCTAAGTAATTGGGATAAGGCTTATTGACTTGAGTTGAGTTGAGGTGAGGAGTAGCATTTTAGTTTTCTAGCCTCGGGTTGTCTGGTTTTATTCTATATCTGCATTAGTTAATTATGTTTGGCTTGGCCATTATTTCAGGCTAGTGTGAAGATTAAATCTGGTACGTTTTGCATAATTTTATACTTAAGAATTCTAACACAATAAACAAGATTATTTGTATATAAGCACATATGTGTGCGTGTGTGTGTGTAAACATGCCCGTAGAGGTGGGTGGATGTATGTGACTATGTGTATGCGCGTAAGCTGATAATTGTAAGTTGAGCAGGTTGTTCAAGCACTGCTACTGCTTTGAAAGTCTACTGTTCAAGCCCATTTTGACTTGGGGCTCATTTTTTTTATTTCTATTTTTTTATAATTATTATTTCATTTTTATAGTTTTCTAGCGTTTTTTGGCTGTTACTTATGTTTCATTTTTCAAACTTGCATGTTTTATCCACAACCCTTGCCTGGGAAATATTTGTATTTCTTGTTGATCCTTATTTGGTTCAATAGAGTGAGTCTAGAAATTAGCACATAATAATTCATTTGGATAGATCATCCACTTGCCTTCTTATTTTGCAAATAAATTTATCCAGGCTTGTCAATAAAGGCTGCAAACTAGTTGGATGCGGCTCTGCAGTACCAACTCTTCAGGTTTCCAACGATGATCTGGCAAAAATTGTTGATACTTCAGATGACTGGATCTCTGTTCGCACTGGGATTCGTAATCGACGTGTTCTAACAGGTCAGTTATTCTTCAGAGTGCTTACCTAGAATTTATCTGGCCTTATGAACAGTTCAATGGGTCTTTGCCTGGCTGCCGTGGGTTGGCTGGGTTAGCTGGGTGTTAATTCTTGTAGAATTCATGATTTGGTAGGTTACGAATGTTGAGCCTAAATCACCATAACCATCTTGCTGGACTGCGGAGTTTTTGAAGCTGGCTGACTATGGAAAGCCTGAGCTGGCCAAACCCAACCCAACCCAATGCCCACCTTTTTTCAGTTAGCTCCACAGATTCCTCCTTTTTTTTCTTTTCTTTTTTTTTTAAATGTCTAAATTGTTTTACAATACCCAGTCATTCAGTGTCAAATTCCCTTTCCTCGCTTCTATGGGAGTCATGTACTGTCAATTGTGGCTTCAAAAGTCTGATTGTTTGGTTTAGTTTTTGAAAACTGTTTTTGAGTTTTTTTTTTTCATAGTTTTTTTTTTTGTGTTTTTTTTTTTTCTAAATTCATATTTTAGTCAAAGGTTTTTTAGATGCACCTAAAAAGTAAAAATATTTATGAAGAAATTTGATAAAAGTTCACTTTAAAAAAAGAAAAAATGAAAGACCATTTCCAATTTTTTTTTTGGCTTTAGTGAACTCTTTTTTTTTTCCCTTTTTTGTTTAATAATTTCTTCACAAATAATTTACTTTTTAGGTGCATCTAATAGGTAAAAAAAACACGAAAACAAAAAACTCAAAAAAAAATTCAAAAAGCTATATTTCACCCTAGGATTATCTTCAAGCCATATTTCCTACTATCTTGACTCCGAGTCTCCATCAGTGGGTTGTGGCGTTGGTCTTCGTCCGTATTTTCCTAATGATCTAAAAGATAAGATGGGATTTGGAGCTGATTGACATTTTGTATAAGAGGGATCTACCTATCAATTTGATAAGAGTGATCCATCTTTTAGTGGTTCTGAATATCATAGATGTCTAGACTGTTTCTGATGCTCTGTGAATTGTGTACATATATGGATGCCTGTTGGTGTTCTTATCTTTTCTATGGGGACTACGGGGCTCTATCAACTCTCTCTCTCTCTCTCTCTCTCTCTCTAGTGCGCGCTTGGTGCCCTAGTTATGCAAACTTTAAATGGCCTCAATCTGACTGTGCTTTTTTACAGGCAAAGATAGCTTGACGGGTCTTGCTGTAGAGGCAGCCAAAAGGGCTCTTCAGATGGCACAGGTTGATCCTGATGACGTGGACCTAGTCTTGTTGTGTACATCAACTCCAGAGGATCTGTTTGGCAGTGCACCTCAGGTATAATAACCTTACAAGAGGATTCCTGAAGTAATGCACCTTGGGGAAGGGCTGAAATCTTTTTTTAAAACTATATTAGGCAACTAAGCATAATTCATTGCTAACTTTTATTTATTTATAAATGGGGATTACTTGACTTTGGCTTTATTAACACTTAGGCATTAATGGTAGGTTTCATACACATGATTTCTTGTTTTTGCAGAATTTCCTGCCATATTCTGTTTGAAGAACTATTGTCTGATTTTTATTTATTTATTGATTGATTTGAACTATTACCTGATTATGTGAATTGATTTCTCATTCTTCACATTTGGTATCATAAACACTCAAAACATTTTTATGTGTTTTTAATTTAAATTTTATGTTACATTTCAGATCCAAAAGGCACTTGGCTGCAAAAGAAATCCATTGGCTTATGATATTACAGCTGCTTGTAGTGGATTTATGTTGGGTCTAGTCTCGGCTGCCTGTTATATTAGGGGTAACATTTTTGTTTTCTTTGCTATATGGGATCTCAATTACTGTTTAAATGTTTATTAAAACTCAACTCTATTATTGTAAATTTTAGGAGGCGGCTTTAATAATGTTCTTGTGATTGGGGCTGATGCTCTTTCCCGTTATGTTGATTGGACCGATAGAGGGACCTGTATTCTCTTTGGGGATGCTGCTGGTGCTGTAGTAGTACAGGTAACGCACTCTGTTTTGTTCTCTAGAACACGTGGCACTTTTATGTAGATAATTCTTGCGATCCTGCAGTCTTGAATATAAATTATTCCCTCTGCTTATTTGTAATGGTTTTTAGGGATTATAGACGGAAAAGGTGTGAGATTTGAGTTGGCATTCTGGGTGAGGTTAGTTGCTGAATATTCATTTTCAGAAACTCGTTGCTTGAGATCTCTGAACAGTAGTGTTTTATGGACATTGCGTAAATTGAAAGCCAACGCTTTGGGTAAAGGGCTGGAATTGATTAAAATTTCATTTGAGTAGCGTTGTGGGGCTGTAATATGTACTGTTTGGAGGCTATGAATAATACTGTGGAAGAAGAAGAATGCCTTCACTGTCATGGTGGTTAAGCCAAACCACACAAACAATCTGAAATTATTATAAGCGTAAGTCTTTAGAGTATGGAGATTATATGCATAATTGTGAGCTTTCTCCTAATTCTACAAGGACAAATATATCAGAATTGGAAACGAAGAAAATTCGACTACTAACACAATCGTAGACTAACAAAAAACTCTGTATAAGATCAAATTATTGACTCATAGCCTATGTCAATCAAATCTAAAAAGTATCAAAAAATATCCTTAATTTATTGAACCTAATTGATTATAGTTTTTTATATACCAGTAACAACTAACCTATGAAAAAGAGTAATAAATAAATTCAACCAAGGCTTGATTAGATAAGGTCCTCGTAGCTGCCCAAGTGAAATTCCATATTTTCTGTTTTTCTTGGTAGCATGCTTTGTATCACAAGCCCATGTGTAAGATAGGCCCCTCAAGTTAAAAGGCCACATAAACTTCCAATTTTCATAAATGAAGGCACCTGGGCTACTGGATTGAAACTAGTAGATCTTAATAACAAATATGTAATGTGAAAATAGTTTCTTTGTTCTAATAAATCGCATGGTGGAAACATATCTCATCTCCTCTCCCCTCAATGACAGCCATGCATGCATTTTGACCTCAACCATTAATTACTCCATTTGCCTCTCTATTTCTTGTATTTGTCATTCGATCACATATCTCCTCACTATTTTTAAGTTGTTTATGGTATCACGTTTGCCTCTCCCATCAAATATTTGTATACCTCATCTTGTTGCTTTATCTGCTTTTTTTCTGCAAATTGTTGGTACGGTTGGGAAATGAACTCTCGTGTCTATATTGATACTAGTTTTTCTGCAGGCCTGTGATAGTGAAGAGGATGGTTTATTTGGTTTTGACTTGCACAGTGATGGTGATGGTCAAAGGTTTGTGTTATGTTCTTCTTTAGAAACAAAAATCCATTTCTGAGTGGAATAGGAATTGAGTACTAACCCCCTCACCATGCAGGCACTTAAATGCCCCCATTACAGAAAAAGAATCAGATCATGCTTTAGGTTCTAATGGTTCAGTGTTAGGCTTCCCCCCAAAACGCTCCTCTTATTCCTGCATCCAGATGAATGGTAAAGAGGTCTTTCGCTTTGCCGCTCGGTGTGTGCCACAGTCAATCGAATACGCCCTCCAAAAGGCTGGTCTCACTTCGTCTAGCATTGATTGGTTACTCCTCCATCAGGTATGACATACCATCTGCATATATAGGGATATACTGATCTAATGAATATATTCGAGTGGAAAGTTATTGTTGAATGGTCAGATCATCCTAATGTCTCACTCAAAGTTTGCATTGATTATTTTCTTAAGGTCATGTTTGGATTATGGATTTGGATAGGGATTTGGAAAAGAAAAACTATGAGAGAAATGTGAATAAAATATTAGTCAATTTTTTTCTTCACTTCACTCATCTTTTCCTTTTCCTTTTCCTTTCCAAACCCCTATCCAAATTCATGATCCAAATACAACTTAAATGAACCTGACAAAAGTGCATACAAATTTTCATTTACACATGCATCTACGGGCTTTGTGCATGTTTTGTAGACTAAAATTGTGGACGACTTCTTGTGGTTATTTAATTGATTCATATCAGTGTTTTCCTGGTGATGGATGGTAAAGGGAAGTTGAAAAATATGTATGCCGGTGTTTTGTACATGGTGTTTGGTTTCATCCTAAGTACTTGCAAGTCTTGTTTCCAGCATAGCTTTTCTACTTCCAAGTTCTCATGAAGCTTTTTCTACTTCCATCTTTGAATTGTGTTTAATTGTCAAATTTATCGTAGGTATCTGAGCCTATAAAGTTTTACCAAATATAGGTGGTTTTAAGTCAGAATTTCCAAATCCAAGTAGTTTTATACCCATTTCTCAAACTCAAGTTGTTTCACGATGTCTTGCCTAGGTTTGGGAAAATTTTGAACAAGACTCTAGAGTCAAACTGATTTTCAAAACACAGCTTCAATCCCAAAGTCGTGTTTTGATGGAAATAACCTAGGTTTGGGAAACAAGTTTAAAACTACTAGGATTTGGGAAATCTGTTTCAAAACAACCTCCAATTGGTTAAAAAAACTTCCTATAAATAGTAGTACTATGAAGTTGTACTCAATTATATGGCCATCATTTCTTCTCATATCGAAGTGAAAATGGGCATCAACATTTTTGATGAGTTCAATAGTAAAAGTACACCATGAATACATTCTTACCTTATATGCACGCCAAGATTTTGTCATGTGCCGTAAATCTTGCTGGTGTCTATTTATCCCAGTAATGATAAACGGATTGGATTATGCAGGCAAACCAAAGGATCATTGATGCGGTTGCAACGCGATTAGACGTCCCACCAGAGCGGGTCATTTCTAACTTGGCAAACTACGGCAATACAAGTGCGGCATCAATTCCATTGGCATTGGACGAAGCGGTACGAGGTGGGAAGGTGCTATCGGGCCATACTATTGCAGCTGCGGGTTTTGGCGCCGGTCTTACATGGGGTTCTGCCATTATCAGATGGGGATGAGACCCTACCTCTCTTACCTCCGCCAGTCACTATAGAAGAAAGAAGAGTGTCTTATATAAACTGTAGTCGTCGTTGTCGTCCTCCTGCCTTGGTTACAGTTCTGAAATGTAATGCCAGTTATTGTGTAGGTTAGAATACCAGTCTCATTCAGCTTTCTTTCGTTCATTCAGATTTTGTTTCCTTTGAATTTTTTGCACCATCAATAAATTTTATTCTTTTCTCCCAAGACATGGAACATATGTGCAGTTGTATATCCTATGGAGTCAGAACTGGGTTGATTTTTTGGCAGGTGAAGAATAGAGCTATAAATATGCCCAGTCAAATTTATGTTGAAATTTAATTAGTTATGACATTATATTTGAATTTTGGTTCGTTTGTCTTTTGAGCTATTTCCAGTGAGTTTTAATGAAACCATTCATGATTTTTAGTGGATATATATATATGTTTATTGAATTGTTAATGAATTTCAAAATATGTTTAAATGTATTTAAACTTGACTTTGTTCATATAACACGTTGAGATTAAAAAATTAACAAGTTTTAAAATGTGTTTAAATTTAATTTATTTATTTGATTACTCAAATTTTAAAGCATTCTTAACCAATTGACACGAATTGAACTTGGTTTATAATCTTAGAACATTGATGTTGTGTTTGAATCTTGGATGTAAGTAAGAATTTTTTTTTCTTTTGTCTATAAATTCATACTCAAATCAAAATTTCAATCGAGGTTTGAATGACTAGGACGTTAATTGTACAATTCCCTTACCGCACAAAGATCCATTTACAAAATTAAACGTAATCCTCTTATATTGGGTGCAAAAATTCACAAAAAATAGACCTACTTGATGGATTTTTGTTTTTATAGACTAGTTCTGATTATATATATATGCAGAAGATAAAACAAACCCAACTCCAAGAAGTGGAAAACTGCTGCCCATGATTGCAAATTATTATTGTCAGTGAGAATACAAAACATCAAATTGTCACAACACCATTTGTGGAGAATAAATAACATTAAAAATTATCAAAACAAAAACAATAATAAATATAAAAAAGAAAAAGAAAAACTATTAGAGACATATCATTGAGCTGCAACTTCTTGCAGCCTAGCTTTAATCCTCTCCAAAACCCCATCAATAGCAACATCAAATGCATCTTTCACACTCCTCAATCCCAGTGAACTTCCATGCTTTCTATACACAATCCTTGGTATCAACTCCATAAGTTTCTCTCTCATCCTCCTCACTTCAACTCTAGGAATCCCCATCAACACATCCACAATCTTCAACCCTTTAAACACCACATCTTCCTTGGGTATAAACACTGAAAATTCCCCAAATTCCTCTTCAGGCAAGTGCCAATTATACTGCGATTTCGCGGACTGTTCTTCGAAGAAAACTGGGATACAACCGGCGAGAATGCTATCGAAAGTCGACCGCCTCGTTGGAGTATCCCCAGGAGGCTGCAAACAAAAGCTGGATTGCAACATTGGCTTCATGAATCGAATTGGGTCTCTCTCACAAACCCCATTAGAACAATCGACAAACTCACACAATTTCGCAAACCCACCATTCGAAAAGCTCGAATTACTGTTATCGCATTCCAAGCGAATACTCCGGCGAATATTCGGCGACGAGGGTATCCCTCCGCCGCCGGCGAAAAGCATGAAATTGTTCCGCCGGGAACGGCGGACCCGGGCGACCCACGAATCGAGAAGAGGTTTGTTTTGTGGGTGAAACGAAGTTGGGTAAGGAATGGCTTGTTCTTGCCAAGGCCAAGCTCTGGACTCCAGTGTCAACGCAGTGACATTGAAAAACTCGGGTAGTTCCAAAAAGGAAGTGCCCCAAATGGGTGGATCGTTCGAAAGCGGTTGACTGAAATCCCAGGCAGGCCTGGCCATGACTAGGAAATGGTCGTGGCCATGATTTCGATCCCAGATTTGAGGCGAATCGTGATGCTTCAAGAATTGGAAGAGATTGAGGCCGTGTTGGAAGCTGTTGTTGAGTTCGGGACCGTAGAGGTAGCGGAGGGAGTCGATGGCGGCGTAGTAGGGGAGGAAGACGGCGGAGGCGGCGGAGGGGTCGGAGGTGAGACATGGGTATTCGAGGATGCGGCGGTGGAAGATGAGTTCGAGGAGGAGGGGGTCGGTGCGGTACCAGCTGAGAGTGCGGTTGTGGGTTTTGTGGCCGAGGCCGTGGTTGGAGAGGTAAGGGCAGAAGTCATCGAAGAGAGGGAAGGAGGAGCAGTTGGAAAGGAGGTCGAGGTTGAATTGAGGAGGGAGGTTGCGGATGTGGATCCAACGGTTTTCGCAGTCTGTTGTGTCTGGATCGGATTGTGTGGAATTGACGGGATTGAAGAAGACGAAGAAGAAGAAGAGGGTGAGGATGGTGGTGGTGATGATGGGTTTGAATTTGATGGTGGTCATTGGTGGGGTGTGGTGGTTATGGGGAGGAAGTGGGGTGGTGGTGGTGGAGGAGAGAGAGAGAGAGAGAGAGAGGGGGTTTGGTTTTTGTTTTTGCTTTCATTGTTTTGTTTGTAGTGTTGTGTGTGGTGGATTTGTGGAGTGAAATTTGGCGGAAGTGGGAAGTGGTGAAAGATGAAATTTTTGGGGGGTTGAAATTGCAGAGTTTTTAAGAATTGGGGGTTGAAATTTGAGATGTCTTGAATTTGGGTTATGGGGAGGAATATGTGGTGGTGGTGGTGGTGGTTATGTGATGTTTCGGAATTGGTTTTGCTTTCATTGTTTTGCTTGTTTGTTGTGTTGTGAGTAAGAATTTGGGGAAGTGAGAAGGGGTGAAAGAAACAAATTTTTTTTTTTTTTTTTGAAATTGCAAGGTTTGAAGAATTGGGGGGATTGAATTGGAGATTTTTGAATTTTGTGTTATTGACTGCCACCAATGTCGGTGAGGGGAGTTAACCGCTTGTGGTATCAATTCCCACCCAATGCGGCGGCGGCGATCCTATTCTTTAGTTTTTGTAATTAAAGTTTATATTTTGATATTAGCTTTTTCCCTAAAGTTTTTGAGAAATTCAGACAACTTTGCCTTTAGTTATTAAAATGAGACATGGGTTTCTTTTGTTTGATTGGTGAAACAAGCCTCCTTTATTACATCTGTCGGTCAAATATAAGATTAATGATAGGTATATTTTTTAAAAATTTAAATTTATTCACGTTTTAATTTTTTATTTATATATTTTTTAAAAAAATTTAGTGAATATTTTTAAAATTTTAAATAATTTTTTAAACTTTTTTAGATACATCTTAGATGTATTTAAAAAATAAAATATTAATAAAAAAATATTTTAAAAAATCAATAAATATGCAAGAATATGAAAAATATATTATATTTTTATATATTTTTAGCATTTAGTGATTTTTTTTTTAAAAAAATCATAAATATTATATTTTTTTAAGTGTATTTGTGTTTGGTGTATCTAAAAATTAAAAAAAAAATTGCTTCAAATATTTAAAAAATTTAGTAAAAATAAAAAAAATACAAAAGTGTGTATTTGTGTTTGGTGTATCTAAAAATTAAAAAAAAAATTGCTTCAAATATTTAAAAAATTTAGTAAAATTTCAATTTTTTAAAAAGTGAATTCTGAGTTATGAAACCAAATAGGTTGAAACAGCCATTAAAAATTTAGTTGGTTCAATATATTTTAGGATTTGAATTATGTGAAGTTAGCTATCTCAATTTGAGAGAGTATTTGAATTTATTTATTTATTTATCAGAAGAGAGGATTTGAGTTTGATGTGTCTATTTTAGAACTAATCTTGGTGATTCAAACCGTTTACTTTTTAATATTTATTGAATATAATATTCATGCAAAAAGTAAAATAATCAAATATTAGTAGTTATATGTTTAAATTACATTTGTATTATAAAAAATTGATCACTAATCTTGAAATTATAATTGTTGTTAATTTTTTAAAATAAATATGATTCAAACATATAGTTATCGAGGTTCAATTATCTTAATTTTTTGCATGAATATTTTACTTAACGAATCTTAAAAAGTGAATAGTTCAAATCATTAAAGTCAATCCCAAAGTGAGTCGACCAAGCCAAACCCTATCTCAAGTTGGATAGCCAATTTGAAAGAATTCAATCCCTATATTTTTTCTTAATTATGTGTTTATTTTTTATGTGTTTATTTTTTTTAATTTTAATTCACATAACACTTATATCATTTTTCATTAGTAATTCAAGAGTCATATGGATAAAAGAATGATATTATCATTTATTTTATATTAAAATACATATTTGAATTTGTTTATTTTAGCGTTTATCCACCATTTATATTTGTTTGATCGCTTTAACCTTATTAAAAGAGGAATTAATATAATTATGTTAAATTTGTAGGATTAGATGTATTTTTTTCCAAATCTAAATAGAGGTGAATATAATCTGCCCTTTGTTTTTTTTTTAATTTTTTAATGATTTTTTTTTAATATAAAAAAAAAAAAAAAAAAAAAAAAAAAAAAAAAACAAAAAAAAAAAAACACAACCCAAAACCCTTTACCAATTTGCACAACAACCATATTTTATTCATCTCAGGAGTTCACCCCGATCCACATTTTACACCAGAACCAAAAAAAAAAAAAAAAAAAAAAAAAAGACCAAACCAACACAGCCCAACAAATAAAAAATAAACAACAACCACAACAACAACCAAACTAACATGGCCCAACAAATAAAAATAAAAAACAACGATTTGAATATAATTATATTTTACTTAATTTATTAATTAATAATAGTTTCAATTAATGCACTGCAAAATTGTATTAAAAAAATAATAATAATCACTTGAGTTTTGCTGGTAATCTATTCGATTAAAATTTATTTAAGATCGAATTAAAAAACAAATAAATAAACTTTAAAACACTTTGTAAAATATATTAAGTTTTCATTTAAAAAATAAATAAATAAATAAATAAAATAAAAGTCAACACAATTGCTGGCCCAAATTTGTAAGAGGACCTTCAAACATATAAAGGCCTATACTAGGCACCTATTGGGCTATCCCCATAGTGAGCCCAATTATAAGAGCAAGGATCCCCTAGAATTTTTTTTTTATAAAGCTTTTTAGAGTGATGGATTGTGTGGTTGAGATTTAATAATAAGTCACATTAATTTTTTAATATTAAATTTCAACCACACAATACACCACTTTAAAAAACTTTAAAAAAAAAAACATTCTAATTATAAACCAACTACGGCTTATAACCGCTTCCCATTTTCCCTCCAAAAACTTCAACTACCCTTCAACTTCTTTCCCAATCCCTCTCTTCCTCTTCTTTTCTCTCCTCTGTTCTCCACAAGAATCAAAAACCCAAGAAGAACAACAACCCATCAAAGCACATCAATCAAATCTCCCCAAGATGAAGAAAGCAGTCTGTAAGTCGCCCTCTCTCTCTCTCCTCTCTCTCCTCTCTCTCTCTACAAATATATAATTTCTCTTCAATGGTGGATTCACTGAAACAGCTTTGTTCAACTGCAAGAAGACCTCTCGTCCATTCAAAGACTTCTACATTGAATGGATCGAAACCCTCAAGAAAATCCACCTCCCTCTTCTCCGGCGATCAATCTCCACCCTCTCGCCGCCGTCAAGTCTCCTCCCAACCCACGTCGAAATGCTCCACCACCACTTCCAACTCTACTACGACGCCCTTGACGTCGCCGCCTCCAACGACATTGCTCAAATCCTCTTCCCCGATTGGCGAAACTCCCTCGAAAAGCCCTTCCTCTTCCTCGGCGATCTCCATCCCTATCTCTTCACCAATCTCCTCCGATCATTCCTCAACGACGATGAAGAAGACGATAAAGAAATTGGGTTTCAAATTGGGGAAGATTTGGAATTTTTTGATAAGCCGTGGCACGTTGTGATGGCTTGGAAGAGTCCTCCGAAGGCTTTAATGACCAAAATCGATCAGATTGAATGTGGGTTGAGGCTAATGGTTCCTGCGCTTGTGGCTAGAGCGAGAATTGCTCAGGCGGGTTTTGCGAAGAGAGCAGGGGCGGAGTGGGGGCGGAGCCAGGGGAGGAAAGAGGCGGCGAGCGGTGAGATTAGGGAGGCTGTGGCGGCGCAGATGGAGGAGATGAGAGGTGTTTTTATCGACGCAAATCGGCTCCGGCGAAGTATTCTTTCAGATATCTTGAGTGTTACCAGTGTATATCAAGCTGCTCTGTTTCTTGAAGGATTAGCCCAATTTCTTGTTGGGTTTCGAGATCATGAATTGCTCGGTGAATTCAATCGGTGCAAAAAGGTTCTCAATTGATGAATTCAATGGGGTTTTTTTCTCAGATTTGGGTTTCTGATTTCTGGTATGGAATGAATGAATGAGTCTGTGCTCTGGACTTTCTTGCATGATCTTGAAACAGAGGAGCTCTGAAGTGTTCATTGGCATATCAAAATTTGCTGATCAAGGCCATTGTTCATGCAAGTTCTATTATTTAATTGATTGTTTTGTTCTATAATCCTTTTTAGTTCCACAATTTTCATGGGAAATAGGCCTGTTTGATGATTGTTTTGAGTATTTTTGTTGTGATGGTTCTGGTGAATTTTGTTTTTAATGTTTTGAGATTCTGTTTTTGAAAACGTGGATTGTGTTTTGTGCGATAATTAATCAAATATTGATAAACTTGATGAACTAGTATTTTCTATTTTTTAAAGCTAAATTATTTCATATTTGTACAATATTCAATGAATAATACATTAATTAATAATCAACTACAATGAAATTTTAAACATCTATCAAAATTGCTCGTACATAATGTGTGATTTTTAAACTCCCATCCACTCCTTAATAGGGTAGCCCACTAACCCGATGGCGAAGCCTAGCCCAGCATATTTCGCACTTCTGATTAATATTTCAGCCTGTAGAATATAGGGCTGTGCTGAGATTTTGAGTCCATTTGGTGGGAACATGGGCTTCCATAATTTTAAGTTGTTTAACGCTATATTTGGTTGGAAGATTTGAGGAGTAATTTGAAAAGAGAAAGGAAAAAAAATAGGTTAAATGTGAATAAAATATAATTATATTTTACTTAATTTCATACATATTTTCTATTTCTCTCTTCAAATCTCTCTCTAAATCTACTAACCAAACATAGTGTAAGGCTGTATTTAAATCATAAATTTGAGTAGGTATTTAAAAAATAAATAAATAAGGTAGATCAAATATGAATGAAATATAACTATATTTCACCCATCTTTTTCTTTTTTCTTTCTAAAATCTCTACTTGCATCCATGATGCAAGCACAAAATAAATAATTAATTAACAGACAACCAATCAATAATCTCGTTAATTTTCCTTATTTGTTTGTTTAATGTTTAGATTAGATACTCTAGCAACAATCCTTAATGGTCATAGATAGTATATTTTTAATTCCTGGTATTAGTAAAGATTACAATGACGTGGTAAAATTTAATCCCACTTGATCATTTTTTTTGGCTTATCCAAAGGTTTTCATATATCAGAACACAGTTATAGAGTACTGCATTTAAAAAAAAAAAAAGCTAATTATAGTAATCATTACAGAATTAATTAATGAAGAGGGAGAATACAATACGGGTCGGATTCAAGCAGTAGGCCAGTCCAATCAACTAAGCTCAAACCCAAGTGGGTCAGACGAATGTGTGGGCCAATTAATTAAGCCCATCTCCATGAAGAAAGGTCTTCCCAAGTTCCCAACTTGTAGAGGAAAGGTTAGTCCAATCGCGATGTTAGGCTGGGCCAAGCTGCAGAACCATGGACCGAACTGATGGGCTGAACCCATCATCAGAACCAAAGTGGGCCGAGCCCACACAAAGATGTCTAAATGAGCCAACCCATCTTTACAAGCAGTCTTACGAAAGGTCGAGCTAAGACACAACGGTGCCAAGTTAAAGAAACCTCTCAGAGAAACATGAAAGTTATGAACACATGTACATAAAGGCTACCACCTCAGCTGATCCCTTTCCCCCTAGAATCACAGAAACAATTAACTAAGGGAATGTGATCAGTTATAAGCATGATTACAATGAGTACATGCCTCCATTGTCAACTACTTGGAAGTCTCATACCTTGAGCAATGTTAAAGGGAGCCTTGAAGCACTAAAGCTCTATGAAATCATCTTGGGCAATAAGTAAAATCTTCTATATAAAGTCTTACTCTCTTCACATTGAAGGTAATTGAGCTGAACTGAACTTTACTCACTTAAACACAACTACATTCGCTCTACACTTTCCTCTCTCTGCATCTAGAGAGAGCCTCTCATCTTCTTCAACAACTCATTCCCACGCTGGAGGAATTTTCCGGCCAACCCCAGTCGAGCAGCTTTGAAGGTGTTATGTGTTTGCAGGTCCTCAATTCCTGAATAGTCCATTCAGTTGCGGAGCTCTAATCCACTTTCATCTAGTGCGAGATTTGGTACGCACAAGTAAGATATATATGAAATAGAACTAAAATTAGTGCATCGTTATCCAAAGCACAGTCCATTATTTTGAACTTAAAAGAGATCTAGACAACTCATCTTATGGTGATCAACTCCCTGGACTTTACACAAGTTGCAAGATATATTAATTATACAGATGTCTCATAACTTGGTGACTTAACTTGCAGTCAGTAGTAGCCAACTTTTCAAGAAAACATCCCTTAAAACCCAACCGTCAGCCTCAAAACCCAAAACGTGTCTCCAAGATACTGCATCGTGACTTTGATACCACGTTAAGACGAGCAATCCAACTACTACTACTGGAATATATTATCTACTATGATACAGTTCACTAACTGGCTTAAAGATTTGTCCCTTTAAAATAAAAATATCAATGTCATGCGATGCCTGTAAATCTATTTTGAAAATCGTTTGCAACCAAATGTGAGATGTCAATAACCAAAAAACATGAATAGTCACTGCACTTCCATTGATAGTTTCTCATCCTTTTTTTAAGTCTGATCATGATGTTGCAAGTTAGTCCCAGATTCTTGTTTAAAAATAGGAAAACTTTACTTTATTTTCTGTGATTTGAGTCATGTGTGGTTTACCTTCCTAACATCTGAAAATGACCACGTAATGCTCTTGTGATTTGTGAACTGAAGTGTACCGTTAGGCCCGTTAACGATTTAATAAAAAGACTAAAATACCATTATATTTTTGTCATTTATTTGGAAGATAAAGTGTATTTTAACCCCTAGTGCTTTATTCTATGTGCGATTTATCCCCATGAAATTTGAAAATGAGTATTTAACTTCGTTATGTCTGTCATGTGTTTCACTGTTAAATTGTACAGGATGTTAACAATGTATTTCTATCTACAAACCATACGAAGATTATACGGTTAGCTCCAAACGTTAGAAAATACACTGCACATTACCCAAATCACAAAGGTAAAGTAAAGTTTGTTCTAAAAAATAAGATACATGCATCATTCATGCAAATTACAAGTTCAATTTTCCACAACAGGCGCTTGTAAAGCAACTTGTGGGACTGTTCATAGTCCATGTACTGTCTGTGAAAGGTCCTTACAATAAAATAAAACAAGATATATTATGCACTCAAAATATGAAATTGGTGTTAGACAAAACAGCTGCGTCAACAAACGTGAGTTTCAACTCATTAATTTTTATTTTTTTTGAACAAAGCTCCAACTCATTAATGATACCCCAAAATATGTATGTGCTTTTAAACTATCTCAATCAATTACGCTCGAGTTTAATCATTGCAATTGATGTTTTCCTTCTTTTATTTCTCTCTAAAAAAAATTACTATGCAACAAGAATAACTATTAAATACTCATAATCGCTCCAAAAATAACCACTCAAGGGAAAATTTTTTACTAATCAATTCAAAACTAAAGAAAATAAAGACAATAAATTTTAAGTTAATTAATTTGAAATTTAGATTCTAGATCAAAAAGAAATTATTCAGAAAAAACCTAGCCAAAACCAAATTCATTTAAACTAAAAATTCCAAAATAAAAAATTTTAAAAAAACAGCGGAGTTTCAAAATTGTAGGGCAGAACGTTGAAATTTGATTGAAATCCAGCTAAGGTCATAGGTGTGGTTTGGGAAGTGAGTTTACTTTTTGATTTTTTAATTTTTTTAGTTATTTTAGTCTGTGCTAAAAAGGTTAGTTTGGGAAGGACATTTTGATTTTTTTTGTGAGAGAAGAGTGTAATGATTATAAATTGGATGTGATATTTTATTTTTTGTAACTAAAATAATTTACTTTATCTTTTGTGACTAAAATAATAAATAAAAAAAAAAATCTCAAATCCATCTTGCCAACGGAGCTTGAAGTTTGATTTTTTTTTTTTGGTTCCACATAGTGAAGTTTGATTGTTGGGCCAATTCGGATCACACATGGTCTTCTGCGTCAAATCTGACAATAATGGAAGATCTCCAAAATTACCGTCTTGCCACCTGTTAAATAAAAATCATTATTTTATTTGTTTTATTTTTCTGGAAATTTTTTATTTTATTTTTATTTTTTTAAAATTTTTTACATGTTGGGCATTTTTTTAAAAACATTAATGTTTAATATTTTTTTATTTTTTTATTTGTTTTATTATTTTATATTTATTTTATATACAAATAATTTAATAATCCCTACAGAAACAACTATCATCAAAACAAACACAATTTTACTTAATCCCCTCACTAACAATCCTCTCACTATTAATCCTCTCACTATCAATCTCCTACATTCTACCTCTGAAAACAAACGTAACCTAAGGGTTTGACTGGTGAATGAAGTCAGTGACTTGGGGGTATGCTCCCTTTAAGGTCTCAGGTTCGATTTTTTTTCCAGCAAAACTCTTGGGAGTCATGAGCCGCAAGAAATAAATTTGTTTCGAAAGATTTGTTCAGGCTGTTAAAAAAACAAAAAAACACAGGTCTGCATGAGAAGGAGATAGAAACATTACAGTAGGCAAATTATCATTTTTTTGTTGTTGTTGCATTATGTAACAGTGATGAATATAGATAAGGTTATCTAGAAATTAAATGCATTTAACAAAGTTTGTGAAAATTGTTCAACATGTTCAACTATACCGTCTCAACATTAAAATATTGATGAAAATTAAGGCACTATGAAATTTCTGCTTAAAAATCATAACATATTGAGTTCATTAAGAGGAAGTACATGGGCGTTGTTTTTTTTTATAATAAAAAACCTTAGTACTTGAGACACTGTATGAGTTTCTGCCTGGTACTGACCATCGACCTGTTCAGGTGATGAAGAGTGTTCAGAAATTTGTCTTCTTGTTTTTGAATATGTTATCCAAACCTTAAATTTTTCATCATCTTCAGTGCAACTTGGCAATCTTTAATACTGTTTAATTACAAGATAACATGGGTACTAAAAATGAAACTATCAAATCTCTGTGTAACTGTTATAATCTGTTTGTTGATCAGGTTATAATGGAGAGATTTCAGAATTAGGTTCTCTTTTTCCTTTTAAAATGTTATCCTTCAACCAAGTTGCTCACATTCTTCTTATACATAGTTGTGATCAAAATAATATTTCTGCAATTATGCAGTATTTTCTTGGC